CTAGAACAGCTATCAGGAAAGGACAGACTTTCACTGGTGTGTTTTAACTACTTTTTCCAATGAGAGTTTTATATGGGAATAAAAGGAAAATGTCTGGTTTACAAATCATCCAGGACAGAGTATATTTATTGTTTCATATCATTATCCATCGGAATCATTCTTCAGGCTTCTAACAGGCATTTGACAATGTCTGTTGATCCAGAGTATTTTCCTTTTTCTGTTTTGATTATTACTGTTTTTTGGAGATGAATTCTCTGGCATGTGCATTCTGACAAGTGCTTCCATTACTAGAGCAGCGAGTGCACTCGTGTGGGATGCTACGTTCACTTGTCCTTCGTGTACAGAGAAATACGTTAGAGCCAGAACTTCTCCCACACCTCAGCGAGGTCTCTGTCAAACGACTGGGCAGATCCAGTGGTGGTTTGAGTGGCTGCTCTGCCAGCCCCACCTTCGCAGGGACATCCCTCAAACAGCAAGAAGTCCGGGGGACACAGCAACGGGCACCTCCACTGTCTGCTCAGACCTGCCCTCCCTCCGGCTGGGTGGGACGGGAAGAATGGCCAAGGGCACAGGTCACCTTCCTCTGCTCTGCTAAAAACCAACTGAACGAAGCCCAAACGTGTCTCTGGGGAAGACCCACAGCAAGTGGCTCTTGTGCCCACACAGGTTTTTGCCTATAGAGCTGCGACAGCAAATGGGAATCAGAAGAGAGAATTTTACCAAACGTATTGGCAGATTCTGACTTCATGAAAAAGCTACTGAGAAGCTATTTATTCCCTGGCAACATAGATCGAGTTGCAGGATTAAGCAGGGATCAATTAACTCAGGAACAGCATCTAGCATTCATTACAAACCACAGCAGAAACCCTTCATGTCTCGCAGAGGACGCTGTCGCTGCGAACAAACGCCGGGTGTCACGTGCAGGCTGGAGTGTGGATGTGAGAGCCTGTGTATGTGTGAACATAGATATTCCCTTGTACAGAAATGTTAAATTCTCAAGAGTAAGTATCTTCAGTTGGTGAAAATCAATTTATTTTTCCATACAGGCTGGAATTGAAAATCTTAAGCCTGAAAGTTACTTTCTTGCCAATTTCACTGATAAAAAAGCGTATGTCTTGGCAAGATGCCTTGTAGGGGCTCCTCTAAACTATTCCATTAATTTCTTTGGGTGACTGGTCTTGAAGCATTGGTTATTAAAGGCAGCTTCTGAGCTGTGACTCTAAAGAATGAATTTAGAGGTGTTTTCCATGTCACTGCAGCCTCAGCCTTCAGAGGGGCTGGTACTCAGCTCTCCATGCACACACCTCATTTAGCCAGGTTTTACTGAGATGCCAGATTCCCATCTCGTGTGTCCCAGCCAGGCTGAGGAGAAGCTCCGTTCCAATCAGTCGGTGGGAGAGACACGACACCCCCGGTGTGAACCACGGCTCCAGCAGCGTTCAACCACTGCCTTTGTTCACTGGCAGCAATCTCCGTCATTCCAAACGTTCCGGAGCTCCCGACTCTGGAACTTCTCTGCCAGGAAGGGGTCGGCATCAGGCCATTTATCCTAATGCTTCAGAGCAACCCAGAGGTTCCTCTTCCTCTCCCCTTGGCAGGAAAGCAAAGCTGGCCCCGAGGGGCCCCAAGGCCCTGCAGAAGATGCAGGGGTGCAGGAGGGGCTCTCCACCTGCCACTGGCAGGGTTTCTTTCTTCCGCCCCCACCA